ACAAGGAACCATTGATGTAATGGTGAGGAGTGCCATGAGCAGACCCATATCTTACAGACTTAGGAATGTAAGAACCCAATGGCTAGATGTGACATTTCATCTCTTCTCTGAATGACCATGACCCTGTGACCACACAGCAGCCCACGTCTCACAAAATCTCAGTGAGTATTGACACAAAGAACTGATGACAAACACAAATACTAGAAAGTCAAAACACAAAATTAATATCTTCAACCCCCCCAAATTTAAATACAAACATGTTTGACATCTTGGCCATTAGGCAAATGCAAATTGCAACCACAGAGTTCACCTTCACTCTTACTACATGCTTTAAGGTAGCAAGTGTTGATAAAACTGGACACATGGTACAGCCTCTGTGTGAAATACTTTAACATTTTGGCAAAAAGTTGAATACAGATTTACTATGTAACTCAATCCTTTCATTCCTAAGCAGATACCCAAAAGAACAAAAGGCATGTATTCAAACAAAAGTGGATGTGTTCTTCACATCTGTGGAGGTCATGACAATGAAAGAATCCCAGCATGAGATACAGAAAAGATAACTGAATTCAAATGGAAAAAAGAATTTTTGTTCCAGCAAAAGAGATGGTGAAAGTGAAGGAAAACTAAGGATCGCCTATTCAAGTTGAAACCCTTTAATTTCCTGACATGAGGGCCCTGTGGTAGTCACCTAGGAGTGTCTCTACTTTGGCATTTCACGCAGACTTGCAAATGGAGAAAAGCATTAACCACTGGAGAAGGTGAGTGAATAAATCAAGGGTACTTCCTAATACAATTGCAGGTGTCTTGTAAGTTTGAAATTAATGAGAAATAAAGTAATTTTTATAATATCCATGTCAATATCATGCCAGAAAAAGAAACAACAAACTTCAATATACTGGCGAAGTAATTAGTGAGCTTTCTCATTATGGAAACAGTACCCAACAGCCACAGCTCTGGGTCATGTGAGGGATTCAGTCCATGGTTGGCTGGTCCCAAGATAGCAACATCATGGAGAAAGTATGTGGCAAAGGAAAACTTTTTAGTTCACGGTGGCAGAGAACCAGAGCAAGGGAACAGTACCAGAGAGGAAGGGGTAAGTGACCGGATACCAGACACCAAGGTCATACTTATCCTCTGGATAGATCTCAAACCCCATCAAGGTGACATGCCACCTTTACTGTCACATGCTGTCTGGGTATCACTGAAGGACACTGCATAGATATTGTCAATATCAGAGGCCATAGGACAAATAGTATATTAATATTATGGTTGGTATGTCAACACTAAATTAGTATTACAGGCTACACTGTGAACATTAAGTTATCATTAAAGGCCACAATGTGGATATTATATTACTGTTAAGATGCCACTTGGAGCCAACATTGTGGCACATACCTATAATCCAGACACTTAGGAGTCTGAGGTAGGATGACTGTGTATTTGAGGGCAGCCTTGAGATTCTAGCTCAAGGAAAAAGATGTTTCTTTGTATATATCATATTAGTCTGAAGAGGCCACAGTATGGGTATAATGGGCCACAGAAGAAATATTACATAAATAACGAGGGGCCATAGTAAGTATACTGTCATAGTATCAGCAACCAGTATGTAGATAATTTATTCATATGAAGAGGCTACCATGTGCATATATAATAAGATAGGACTTCACAGTGTGGTATTATGTTGATGATACAGGGCCACATTGTGGACATTAAATTAATATTAGGGACTATGAAGTAGATGTTAAATTTCTTTTGAGGTCACTCTGAATATTAAATTAGTATTCAGTATCAATGTGTGGACATCAGTATTAGAGGCTGCTCTGTGGATATGAAATTAGTAATATTATCATAGTAATATTCAGAGGCTAGTGTGGACATTAGAAGTAAAGACCATACTATGGATATTAAATAAGTATCTTTGGCCACTATCTGGGTACCACATGAGTGGTGGAGAACACTGCATGGATATTGTAACTATCAGAGGCCATGGGACAAATATTATACTGGTATTATGGGTTAGTGTGTAAATGTTAAATTAGTATTACAGGCAAAGTGTGGACATTAAATTACCATTGAAGGCCACAGTATGAAAATTATTAATAGTGTTAAAATGCCACTGGGAGTCAAAATGGTAGTGCATACCTGTAATGCAAACCTTCAGGAGGCTGAGGGGAGTACTGTGAATTCTAGGGCAGCCTTGACTATATACCAAGACTCTGTCTCAAAAGGAAAATATGCCACTGAGTGGATATAATAGTCTTAGAAGTCCACAGCATATTGTGGGCTACTGTATGGATAATATATAAGTAATGACCAGCCATGGTGAGGATAATATAGTATTGGGAACCAATATATAGGCTACATATTCATATGAAAAGATCATTGTGTGCATATTTTGTTAGTCTTAGGACTCCACAGTGTGTTATTAAAGAGCTATATGTGTCTATTAAGTTAGTTTCTGGGCACTGGGTAGATGCTTCATTAATGTTAGAAACAACTCTGTGGATATTAATAAATATTAGAGGCTGCTCTCTGCTATATTAAATTAGTTTTATAGACTGCTCTGTGGATACTTAATTAGTATTAGAGATATGTGTGGATATTAAATAAGTATTAGATACTTCTCTGTGAATATTAAAAAAATATTAGAGGCCCCTCTATGAATATTAAATTTGTATTAGAGGCCTGTCATCTGAGGCCACCCTAATGTATACGTGATTTTCTCAGGAGGCAGCTGGCAAGCCTGTGGTGTGGATGTAGCTGAGGCCATGACCAGCTGCTGCTGCAGCATCAGAGCAGACTGAGCCCCTGCCCAGACAGAAGGCCATGTCAAACCAAAGAGAGCTGAGGGACAAAGAGGAAAATGAGCTGATTCCAACATGGGCAGCTTTTCAGAGTGTGTGAAGATGACTAAGAATATGCATGAAATTCTTTCTCTGACTCAGAAGGTCCTCAGTAAAGATCAGTTATTTACCTTTTAGTTATTTTTAGCTGCTCATACTCCAACAAAAATAGCCAAAATTTTTGTTATGGATTTTTTCATTTTTTGTTTGGTACACCTGGGATAGAACCCAGATCCTTGTTCCTGCCCATGCTGCATCCCAGCCCCATCACCCAGCTTTTTAAGCATCAAGAGAGAGGTTCTTAATTCTCCCTCCCAGCTGATCTGCTTCTTTTTGCCTCCACAGGGCTCAGGGCAATTGTGACCACAGCACCAACTGCAACCACCAGAAATTGAACCTGGACCATCAGGGTATGAAGAGGTAAGACACTGGTCCCGGAATGCCTGGGGTTTCTGGCCTATGTGTGTGTGGACAGCTGCCACTAGCCACTGACCAAAGGACGATATGTGGGACCCTGGTAGTGCATCATCTTGTAGACAGCCTTACTGCATGTGGTGGCTGGCATCAAGAATTTAGCCCAGCAGTCCTTGGACCTAGCCCAGAGGTCCAAGGACCTAACCCAAGGCTTGGGAGGCAGGACCTAGCTTGCCAAACAATGTTAGGGTGCAGAAGTACAGCTGTGTCTGGGATGGGTCAACCAGGACTTAGCTTCTGTGTGTCTGGAGTGTTGAAGGACATCAGACAGGGTGGGAATTGCTGAGCCCAGATGAGCTCTAGACCTGCTTCCTCTAAATCAGCTCACTTTCTCCTGTATTTTTTTCCATCATTACCAGGAATTGAACTCAGGACCTTGAGCTTGCCAGGCAGGCATGGCTCATCTTCTAAATTTTGCTTTCTCAGAACGAGACTCCCTGATCCTAGGTGGTTCGTGCACTGTGTCCTTAGCACCTGTGTAGATGCTATAACATGAAGCCAGGAGCTGTATGTTATCCCTTTTCCTGTCCTGGGCCTGGGCTTAATTCCAGACTGTGCTATGAGCCTGAGACCTGGGTTCAGGTGTAGATTGTGCATCCTCATCCAGAAAACACAAGTAAAACACAATGTGTTCTGTCATTTTATATTTCTAGATTTGAACCAAAGCTGTGCAGATAGAGGAAGAAATAGAACACTCTAGAGGGATTAGGTCAACTAACCTGGAAGGCTAGGAAAAAGTTTGTCTTTGCCAAGACTCAGTCAAAGTCTTGAGTAATACCGGAAATTAGTCTTGAACCCATTCAGATTCCAGTGTCTGTGGTGCATGTTTCTCAGCATTGAAACAGAAAACTTTTTGCTGCTATTGTTGACATCTGACATTGGAAGCAAGTGATTGGGGCATTATTTGAAGTTCCCAAAATCATCAACACTACAGAAATGGGGTCCTTTCAGATTTCGGGTAAACAGCAAATGGTCACAGTGTTACATATAACATTTTAGCATGCCATGATTATAGCAGATTTTAAGCTGCGATCTTGATGCAGGGCCTTAAGTTCTTTGCCAGTCTGCACACATCTTTGTGGCTTCAAGTTTGATATCTTGAAAACCTTCGTGACCTTCTCCATCAAATGGGAACAATCTCTAACTTTTCATTTATGGAAGGGGTGACAGTATAACCACTGCACACAGTGTATGACTAACCCACACACTGATCCACCACAGCGTGCTCCTGATTTTGAAATAACCTACTGAACATTAATTTTAGAAAGGCTTTCCCATCAGAAATCAGGGATCTCAACTTTTTTCTTATAGTCAGTGGCTCCTCTATTCTAATATAATATTGCTGGGGCTAGAGCCCTGCCCTTTCCTAGACCCAGACCCAGACCCAGTCCAGCCAGTTGGGGCACTGTCCCCTGAATAGGAGAAGGACAGGATCATTCTGAGCCAAAGAATGAAGGAGACCATGTCCAAAAACCTAAAAGTCAAGTGGGTCCTTGGAGACAGCAGGTACCAAAGAAGGAAGACAATTTGGCCAGGCTTTCCCAAGAAGGAACAAAGGTAGAGCTGGGGACAAAGGACCCCTCTGGGAAAAAGTAGTATCTTGGGGTTCCGGGGGTGGGGGGGAAGGCAGAAATCAGATGGCATAGAAAGAAACAGAGAGCAAGGAAACAATATCCTCACCCCAAAACAGGAGTGCTGGTGCTGGACTGGGAGGTTCGGAAGAGAAGTCGAAACACCTGCAGGATTGAGCCAGGATTCAGGCATGGAGATGCAGTGCTGGGAGGAAAAGCAAGCTCTGGCCAAGCCAGTGCACTGCAGGCTAAGGGCCGGACCCAGCCTGTACTCAGCAAAGCACGAAGAGGCGTTACCTTTCCCGGCTTCCCCCTATCAGTAATCTGCGCATGCGTGGCTATCCACACTAACTTCCCAGGGCAACGCCGCATGCCAAGAGGGCAGACGCCCCCAAAGGTAGGGGCCCAGCCACGCGGGATCGCCCCCGAAGCACCAAGGGGATGGGGTTCAGCGGACGCGCCAACAAGGCAGCAGAGAAACCCAGTAGGCCACCGTCTTGACAGGGCAGGCTGCCTAGTCCTAGGCTTCTATCGCCGATGCCCCCACGCGGGTTTGCAGCACAGTGGACCAGAGGACCCAGGGGTCTCGCATGCTGACTGAGGTTTTAGGGTTTAGTCAAGGAAAGGGACCACAAAGACAGGTCCTGGATCACAAAGGCGCCAAGGGCATCACCTGCTCTGCTCTGGAGGGACAAGACAGGAAGCCTTGGCTGGAAGGAAGAAACCTTCTTCCTGACCCCATAGCCCGCATTGTGCTCAGCCTGCTCCACCTCAGGGTGGAGAGAGAAGCCAGACCTCCGGTTATTTCACGACCTCTCTGCTTCCGCCTAGAACAGAGCAGTCCTGGCCGTCCAACTGCTCCAGCAGAGAGGACACGGGGGGAGGGGTTAATGCTGTTACCCACTGGGAAGGGGGTCACAATGTAAAAAGCCAAGCCCAGGGCCCAGGGCTTACCGGCAGGGCTCAGAGGGTGCCCCTTAGCACCCCCAACAGAGCATCATCGCCCCTGTTTTGTGGAGAAGGACAACAAGGCGCAGAGTGGGTGTCTAGTGAGTGTGGTGTGGAGCTCCGCTGCAGAGTCTGCTCACTTGACACAGCCCACAGCTTCCCGTTTCAGCACCAGGGCTGACTTCCTCAGAGGTTACAGTTGTCTGGGCCCCTAGACCCTGTTTAGCGGTGCCCTAAGAAGCCTGTCCCTGGCTGATCAGGAGTGCCCCAAAA